ATGTTTTGATATTTTTACCTCCTGGCTCTGTTTATAGTCTTTTTCATTGAATTTTCCCTTTTTGAAGCTTGTTTGAATTTAAAAGTAGCGCTTGTGAAGTTTGCTTCATATTCAAATGTTTATGATTTTTTTACAAAAAGTTTTAGTTGTGAATGGACACATACCTTTATTTATTTTTATGTGTTGCTGAGGATTGAACCCAGTGCCTCACACATACTAAGCAAGTGCTCTACCACTGAGCATGACTACAGCTCCCTGTTTATGATATTTTTTACTGGAATTTTGAAAATTAAGAAACATGATTCATATGTATTATTATGACTTTATTTTCCAAGGCCAGAAAAATCAAAGGTAGTATTTGGTGAATGCATAGTATGTCATATATTTTGAGAGCATATTGTGACTGTGGTATGACATTCTACACTTGCTTATCTTTGGCCTTTCCAACTCAGTGCCAGAAGCCCCAAGCCATGATTAGCTATGATCTAAACAAACTCTTCTGAGATAGTTGTAACCTACATAGTATTGGTATTGGTATTATTTAAGATAAAGGTTAAGCCACTGTTTCCTTCATAAACTGACAAACTATAATGTGTTGATATTATGAATCAAATTCCCTTCAAACAAACTACAGAGAGTTTATTAGTTTAGGAAGACTTATTTTCCTATAAATTTCTGTGGTAACACAAAAGATTGCTTTTCCCTTTTTTTTTTTTTTTTAAACAGATCATTAAGTTGAAATAATGTCTGATTATAACTGATCCAAATAAATGTGATAAAATAAACAGAAACTTCTAAGTATAACTCAAATAAGTGACACTTGTGCAGTTTTTCTATAAGGTAATCCAAAGTGTATAGAATATGTATATCAGTTCTTTTCATTTTGAACAAAATTATCTTTTAGGCAGTAGCCATAAATAAGAGATGAAATGCAACCTCTCAAAACTTCAACTTTAGGAAAAAAGGAAACTGGGAGAAAAAGAAAATTTGACCAGTTATCACTTTATAATGTGTAAAGTACTTTGATCTAGAGAAAGAATTTGATTTAGGAAAAGACTTATCTATTTTTCAGGGAAGAGTATACAAAATTAGTTTTCACTAAACGACTGGACTTTGAAGGATTATAATTACCATCAACAATAAACATATGTTGGGTAAGACTATAAAGCAATTCTGCACCAAACCTTTTATTAAATATTAACAAGCAGTCAAATATTTTTGTTATTTCCCTAAGTAGTAAAAGTGCAAGGGACTACATACAATAGGATATCAGTTGAATATGATGCAAACAGCCTGGATAATTCACAAACTAGCTAATTGGATGTTGAAAAACAGCCTTACCTTTATACCTCTACTTAAATAGTCTTTCTTACCTGGAAAAAGTATGACTGTAGAGGTTGATCCTTATTTTCTTCATCCACATATAGTCCTCCTACCACATATACTTGATTTTGTTGGGTAACAATGCTGGAATGATTTCTGGGGATCTGCTCAGCCAGTGCAGTAAGGTAGCATTCATTTTCTGTGGGATCATAAGCTACTGCGGCTGTGTCATTAACCAATAGGATAAGGTCTTTGACAAACATTCCATGCCTGGGAATGTCGTTCAGGTAACCAGGAAGCAAATCTTCATCACCAACATCACCATTCACCTCACCCTCCTTAGTCTTCTCTGTATTTTTGCTAGGTTCTGGGAGTTTGCCTGCAAAAGCATCTTTTAGAACTTTGATTTTTTTCTGAAGTTCTGGGTTGCTTTTGATGATATCATCTTTCTCAACATGATCTTTAAAATATTTTTCTGTCATTAGGCGAAAACGAATACAATCAAACACTTCGCTAAGATTTTTCACCCTATTTTCTTTGTCTGTTCGCACCCATTTCATTACTGCCTCAAATACTGCTTCTTCCTTTTCTACATTTAGGCTGTCATTTGAAATGACTGAGATCAGTTCCTGTGGAGACAGCTGCATAAAGTCCTCTTCCTTACAAATCTGTACAAAGCGTTCAGACACAAATTCACGAGCAGAAATGGCGAGTCTCGGGCAATCAAGAAGAAGTCCTAATCTTAGGATGGCTAGACAGTTACCAGGAGCAAGTCTTTTCTGAAGATAAGAAACGCAGACAGTGAACACTGAGGGGATCTGAAAGCGACTGGCCAATGCAAAAATATCTTGCACGTTTCCATCATTGAGATCGATACTGGCAGAGTACAGGTATTTGATGATCAAATCAAGCACAGCAGGGTCTACATTATCTAGTACAACCTCCTTTTTTTTCTCTTCATCAATTTCAGATAAAAAATACTCACGGAAATAAGGACTACAAGCGGACAAAATCAATCTGTGGCAAGGAAGACTTTTGTCACCGGCTTTTAGGGTGCAATCGATGAATTTTTTCTCATCCAGGAGATCTTTTAGACCATCCTGAAGAAGGGTGGATTGGTAAAGCCGCAGTTCCTCTGCAAGTTCCCGCTGGGAATCCATTTTGTGAGTAACCTGGGTAAGGAAGGGGACACTCCTTGCAGCACACAGGTCTAGCTGTAAAAAGGCAGATCAGTGTGCTTTGCCCAGCTTGAAGCCTTTGCAATTTAATCCCACCAGCTAAATATAGATACCAACTCTAACAACGGGAATTTAGGAGAGCTAGTTTGGAAAGCAGAGTTGTTCTTGCAGCTGTTATAGATTGATAGTAACAACTGGAACTTTTAATCACTAAGGAAACAGCTAAGAAACAAGACATTTAAGTGGAAAGCTTTAAAATGCATAAAGTATTAGAAGATACACTAATAAAGGCTACCACAAGAAAATGTTTATTGAATCAACAGAAAAATGAATCATAAAAATGAGTCACTCCTCTAAAAATGGTCTAGTGGCAAGCTACTTGGCTATCTGAATTAATGATGCAAAGGTCAAGAATATGAAGTGAGTTAATTTGACTTCTCATAAGCAAGATCCCCTTTCCAATAACTGTTACACATTTTTTATCTTTTACTCAAAACAGTGGGGTATAGATCTAAGTAAGAAACTTAAAGGTGTTTACTTATGTAATATAATTACAGTTTTATAAAACCTTTGAAATGATATCTTCATCAAAACAGAAATCACAATATAGAGAAACTAATTTTTAAAATAATGTCTTAAATATATAAATAAACTGACAAAACTTCATTAGTGAGAAAATTAAAAGGAGTACTGAATTAAATTATAAAATTAATTTATTCACACCTGCCTTGTTGTGCAAAGGATTGAATGTGGCAAATAATACTAATTAAAATGAAGGCAAAAGAATAAATCATTCAGACTGGAGAAAAATAGGCAAACATCAACACTAGAGAAAGACCCCCACACACAAATGTGATCACTACAGATATTTTGTAATTTTCAGTGTTGAAATTATCTTTCATTAAGTAAAAGTTAAGAAACAGGACAGATATAACCCTATGAGAACAATGTCATCAACAGAACACAGCAAAATCAGAATGAAGTGCTACATCAGCCATAGGGTTTAGAAAACAGATCTTATTTAAAAAATATATATGTAAATATATATAATTTTAATTTTATATAAAGTAAAATATGTATTTTATTATATATGCACATATACCCATATAAGTATTGATTATAAGGGAACACTGTATTATGGGATGTATGAGTCATGATTTAAAACAATTGAACCTTTGCCCATACATAGATGGTATATACTTCTTCACAAAACACTTTATTACATAATCATAATCTGAACTCAGCAGAGCTTTAGAAATACTATAATTTCAAAAGTTGGTATTCTTAAATGTGCCCCAAAGAACAGAAGCTCCATGAAGACAGGTTTTGTTCATTCTGTGCTGTTCAATGCTACAGTCTCTAGGCCTTATGGGTGCTCCATAAATATTTGTTGAATGATGAATGCCCCCAGATCAGAGAATTATGTATTTTTAATCTTCAAGGTTTCTATTCATGAGTAAAGGCTTTTTTCTTTTATTTTACATCACAGTGAAGTCAATGGTACTGTCAGCTGCTAAAACAACAGCTGAAAGAAGAGCTCATTGATTCTTTTTCCATTTATAGATGTCACTAAAGGTTTTAACACACTAGAAAAAAACCAACAGCTGCTCCCTTGTTTAAACAATAAATGACTCATTTATTGCTCCCTACACGTAACACCTAACATTTGAAAAGATTAGTGAGTCAGATGCAAACTCCTTGATATGACATTTGAGATAATTCCTTAGTAGCTGGCAATTTTATAAAGCCTCTTTTGCTTAAAAAGTAGTATTTAAATAATATTTATGGTGGTATTTTATTTGTGACTCCCTAATATAGGTTATTATAACATTTCTTAAAAATGTGGAAATCTTTTCCCTTGAAGTTTTTGTTCATTGATTTTTAATAAACTCAGGTTAGCACTATGTCGTCCTGTGTCTGTCAATATTTGGACACATAGTTGCATCTTATTGTAAATGTTTTTATATACTCATTCCTTTCCCATTAGGGAAAGAGGACTACTTTGGCTAATTTCAATTATTTGACAAAGGTTCTGTACAATGTTTTTTAAACTGAAATAGTAGCCAAGAACACTGAATGGTGCCAGAGAGGTCACCAAATTATACCTAACCAGGAAATCAGAAAAATAATAGATAATTTTTTAAAACTCAAAAAACATTTCAATGAATCAAAGTGAGAAAAAAGTCCTTAAGTGGACAAAACTATTTCCTTACAAGAACAATCTACTCTTGCCAAAACTATATTGAAATTATCTATAAACTAGCATACAAAACATTTACAGAGAGATTGAGGTACACCACAGTTATAATTGTTTTTTAGTTTTTACAAAAATGATCCCCTAAAAATGACATGTTCAAAGTTTGTAATTTGTATTAGAGTTGGCTTACATTTGGAGTTATGTGATAATACATTTAAAGTAGATTTTTATAATTAAAAGGAATTTTTTGATTATTTCATAAGAATACTTATTTTTTAAAATAATACTTTCAAAACATTAAATGGTGCTGCATAAATTCTTTATTAAACCCAACATAATACAGTTATTTAAAATCTGGAAACTTATACAAGTATTAGATACAAAATAAACATTTTACAAGCTAGATACATTTCAATTACAATTTTAGATATAATTTTTAGAAAACAGAGTTTTCTAAAAATATTTTTTCTTAATCATTAAAAAACTCTCTTAAAAGCTTTAAATATAAAAGCTGTAAATATAAAAACTATTCCATGCCTTATAGTAGGCGACTAGTGTCTGTAATCTTGAGATATCTTTAAATAGAAATCCAGCTCAACTCAAGATCAACTCATTACTTCCCAAAGTCCCTGTAGTGTGAATCCATCCTTCAATTTCTCTATTGCAAGCCCCAGTTCTTCTGAAAATACAGGTTCACGATCCTGTTGCTTTTTGGGAGGTAAGAGGATAAGATGGGGAATAGAGAAGGTGGGCAAGGAAGAGGAAAAAAACAAAAAATAGGTTTCACATAAGTTTGTGAATGCTAAATGTTGGAATATAGAAACTTCAAAAAATATACTATAGCTAAAATTTTCTTACCTTATTGCCATCAGCAAAATAAGCCTAAAAGATAAAGAAAATTACATGTCAATATGACATAAAATAGATCAGTGGGCTAAGGAATAGGCAATTAGTTTGCAGAATGATTTTGTAACTAAATGTATTACATACATTGTTATTGTATAATAATGATTTTCTCTTCTCTATAATCCTGGCCTCAAAATTTATTTCTCCTGTCAATCAATATTAATGTCTATAAGAGTTATGCTTTAAGTTTTATAAACAAATGTGCTTTGTAATTAATGTATAATTAGCATTGCCAAGTAGAAGGGAGATAAAAAGAATAACATAAGAGCTATAACATTTCTTCTTTACTTTTGGTAGAAGATGGTGGCAAAACAAAACAAAGCAATCAATACTTCAATGTGTCAGCAAATGCATGTGAAAATATTTGTTACCAGAGAGGTATTCTGGTCAGACTCATAGACCACAGTATGGAGAAAGCGTTATTATTATATTGTCTATTAGTTAACTAATACCAATTCAGAATAGGAAAGCTTATTCTTCAAATACATATGCTTTCCTAAAATTAATATAAATTAAGGGAAGCATCTCATAAAAATTAACTATGAACAGCATAGATTTTAAATTAATTTAATTAACTATAATATTTAACATTCTTTTATACTAAAGTACGAAGAAGCTTTTCACATGTCTAAAATCCTCTGAATACTATTCTCAAAACTATTTCCTGCTTTGGTAATTTAAAAGTACTGTAACAAAAAGAAATTCCCTCACCTAAAAAAAGTTATCCTCAAACTCATGTCAAAAGGCTCGAGTTCTACAGTGTTTTACACACAACATTATTTAATTAAATATGACTAAGATACAAATCATAAGAAATTTAATAGTTCTCCTTTCAGACGCTCACCACAAAAGCATCCGTGTGATCATCAGCATCTATTTCTACATCATCTTGAATTTGTTCAACTGTCAGAGCTTCAAGGGGCTGTGGCTAAAAAAAAAAAAAAAAAAATCAACAATTGTCAAATGCATCAGAAACAATATTAATTAAATCATTTTAGAAAAATGTACTTTGAGAGCCATAAATGCTTGTAAAAAGATAACAATTATAACTGATTGAGTCTTACATTCTTCTGTTAATACTAACTTAAGTAATAAAATAGTTAAACCTAAGCTTTTAAATATTTAGTCAACATCATCAAAAAGTTCCAGAGTGGGATTTACACAAATTTGTATGCTTAGGGGGAATTCCTTTTTTTTTTAATAGTGGTAGATGGATTTTATTTGTTTATTTTTACGTGGTTCTGCGGATCAAACCCAGTGCCTCAAGCATGCTAGGCATGCTAGGCAAGCGCTCTGCCACTGAGCTAAGGCCCCAGTCCTTAGGGGGGATTCTTAAAGGGAAAACTCTCAGGGCCAGGGACATAGCTCAGTGGTGAAGTGCTTGCCTACCAATGCACAGAGCCCTGTGTTCAATCACAGGGCTTTGTGGGATGGTAAGTGTAGATGGGGGAGGGGGGCGGAAGGAAAGAAAGAAGGAACAGGAAAAAAAAAAAAAGAAAAAAAACTCTCACTTTTTCTTTTCTCTTCTTCTTCTTCTTTTTTTTTTTTTGGTATTGGGGATTGAATCCAAGGGTGCTTTACCACTGATATGGCTCCACAGGTTGAATATCACCATGGGCACTGATTAAAGAGTGGATGGAAAGGCCACCAGCACTAGAGAGTACAGCGAAGGCCCCAGCAAAGGAACAGAGAGCAAAGGAACCTGTGATAGAGTGGTCAGTGATGGGATCATGACAGGGAAGACAGAAAGGGCAGTGACAATAGAGCAGATTGTGAGGGCACCTCTGATGGAATGGACAGTGAGGATCCCAACGGTACAGCAGATAGCAAGGGCACCAGAGGCAGAGCCTCTGGTAAGAGTATCAGTGACAGAGTATACAATGAAGACACCAGTGACAGACTGGATGGCCAGGATCCCAGCTGAAGAGGTAAGTCACACCAAGAGAGTTGAAATACCTAGAGAGCAGGAACTCAGACAGCAATAAGAAATCATGAGAAAGGGAAAGAGCAGATGTATAGGCATAATATTCAAAATATTTCAAAACTAGCTGGGCATGGTGGAAAGCTGAGGCGGTGGATTGATCGCTCAGGCCCAGGCATTCAAGACCAGCCTGGGGAACACAGACACCATCTCAAAAACAACAACAAAATAAATAAATAAAAAACTAAAGCTAGTATGGCAGAAGCTCTGATTAATAGGGATGAATACAGGCCATGTTCACAAAGCAGACTCTGGCAGGTGCTGTACTATAGGGCAAGGGAGAATATAATGGTATCCATAAGGCATAGAAAGCTTGCCCATGCTAATGGGGGGCTTCTGTTGAATGAAAATAAAGCTGACAGAGTGCGAGACTCGTCTGTCCCCATCAGAGGAGCCCTGAACAGAGAGGTTTTTCTGGATAGGCTGATCACCTAAAAGACAGGTATGGGAGAATGATGAAGAGGCAGCCTGCTAGAAAACAGGTAATGGTCACCAATTATAGGTGGTCCCGGGGCCATTCCTACTTGAGCAGAGTTTGTATATTCATCATTTAAAACAGTTTAAAGTTAAACCGTACAGAATGTTTTTATACCTGAATTTTACAGGAAGTTGGAAGGCAATTCAGCAAACTCTGTATTTCACATATTGAACAAATTACCTTTTCTTCCATTTCATAATCCACTCCAAATATAGGACTGGCAGAATAGACTTTGTGAAGTGAATTGATTTCTTTAACTGATTCCTGTAGTTTTTCCACAGGATCTATTTTAAAGCCAAGAACATATCCTCCACTCTACAAGAAAAAATAATGAAAAACAAAATAAAACAAGCCCAAGAAATGACATTTGTAGTATATGATAAAACTTTAGCTGTAATCATCTACATGTTGTAGAGTACAACATGTAAGCTTGATTTTTTTGGTACTAGGGAATTGAACCCAGGGGCACTTTACCACTCAGCCACATCTCTAGCTCTTTTTATTTTTTGACACAGGGTCTCAATAAGTTGCTTAGAGGCTCCCTAAGTACCTGAGGCTGGCCTCAGACTTGTGATCCTCTTGCCTCAGCCTCCCAAGTTGCTGGGATTATAGGCATTCGTCATCACATCCAGCGATAAGTTTGATTTTTTAAAAATTAAACGCCTTACTATGAAATATTTCAGATACATATAAAAATAGGAGAGTACAATGAGCCCCCTCACAATCATCATGGAACTTCAAACTGTAGCAACATGTGGCTGACTTTCTAACTACTCCCTCACCTGATCTCCCATCCACCTAACCACTCAGGATTACTCTGAAGCATGTCCAGATATCACATGATTTCATTTGTAAATATAAGCTGATCTTCAAATATTAAAAAAAAAAAAAACCTATAGATTGTGAAGGCCAAGGAAACTTAAGTTTTTCTAGAGCTAGGCCTTGAAAAGGAATATATATTAAAAGAAGAAAAGAAGTGGCCTTAGGCTATCTCCTTAAAAAATTAGGAAAGAAACTTGACTAGGATAGGTTGTTAGAGAGAAATGTTAGAAAGTAGCATACTATAACTGGTAAGAGCATTTGCTTTGGGTTGAGAGCATACACTTTTTAGTGTCAAATTCTGATTCTACGATTAATTTACAAGCTGTATGATGCCTGGAAACTTACTTTCCGTAACCTTTCTAAGCCTTAATTTTCTAACACAAAATGCTTGATCAAGTTGTTTTATTTATATAAGATATATATGACACTTGATACAGTTCCTGGGACATAGTAAGCACTCAGTAAACAGAGATATAGGTCACGGTAAAGGAGTGAGTAGACATTGGTATTTTAATTTAGAAGTGATTTTATAACTCAATTTCTTTCCCCCAGAAATGGGAACTGAACCCAGGGCCTTGTGCATGCTATGTAAGTATGCTACCACTGAGCTATAAACTCAGCTCTTATCACTCACTTTTTTAAAAAAATGCATTTTAAATGTTTTATTTAAATATATTTCTGCATCTGGACATGGTAGTGCACGCTTGTCATCCCAGCAATATGGGAGGCTGAGGCATAAGAACTGCAAGTGTTAGCAATTTAGCAAGAATCTGTCTTTTAAATAAAAAATAAAAAGGGTTAGATGGAGCTCAGTGGCATAATGCCCTTGGGCTCCATTCCAAGTACCCTCCCCCCAAGAAAAATTCCTGCAAAAACATGGCATATGTGAGAATATAAATTCTCCAACAGAATGGATATATATGTTTCTATATATATCTATGTAAAGAAAGTTTTGTTGTGAATCAGACCTGAGGTCATGAGTAAGGTTCGTAACTTCTCTAGGCCTGTTTCCTTCACTGTCAAGTGGTGAAAAATAGTAAGTGTACCATAGAGTTGTTAGATTGGGTGAATGTATGAAAAGCATTTAGCACAGTGACTTGATTCTATCATTAATAATAAAAGTGAGTGGGATGTAGTGGCACAGTCCTAAAATATCAGCTATTTGGGAGGATTAGAAGTTCCAGGCTAGCCTCAGCAACTGTGAGAGGCCTTGTCTTCAAAATAAAATAAAAAGAAGTAGGGATGTAGCTCAGTGGTAGAGTGTTTGCCTAAAGTGTGTGAGACCCTGAGTTCAATCCCCAGTACTGCAAGCAAATAAAAATAAAAATGATGATCATAATGATAATGATTATCTGTCCCAACTAAAAAACATAGGATTCTTCTATGGAGACAATTTACTATAACACTTTAAACACTTGATATACCTTCATATTATAAGTAATATTCTTCTTGGATGTAAACTGCTTACTATATACATAAAATTAAAAACCTACAGCATCACATAGTTTTAAAAGCCTACAAAAGATTAATAAAAATGTAAAACATCTTACCTGTTGAGAGCTTTCTATGACAAGAGCTAAACCAAATTTTGAATCTCTAATCTTTATCGAACGCTGGATATAAAATGAAGAAGAAAAAAAATGCATGTCTTTATTTCATAATCTCAAGAATAGAATATCTTACCTTCCTTTATGAAACCCCCAGAGAGCTCATAAATGAACAAGACCCACATATAAGGTGGCAAACTTGTAAGAAAATACAAAGATGATATCTCTAAAATATGTACCCAATTGTCTGACTCAAATATCCTTCAATTCAATGGAATCAGCAACTTTTCTCAATATTTTACACAAAAGTCCAACGATCTTTCGGTTATGATGATCCAGTGTCTTTTGTGGTTTCCTAAGGCTGGATTAGTTTAAAAGTCATATGTGCCTACTGTTTCTCATGTTCCAGGTGACTAAATTCTAAAAATGTCCATATCCACTAATTAAAAAAAAATAAGTTTATGGGTACTCATCACTGGCCATCAAGAAAGGCTGGGATAGATAAAGTGCAATTGACAAATGTGACATGAGGATTAAGATTGATCAGAAGGAAGATACTAATCTTGAGAGGAAGGAAGAGGAGTAGAAGCATAATGATAGGGCCTACAGAAAGAGATATAAGATGTACTAGCTGATGAAGAAAGGGAGAACCGTGGAGAGAACCTAATATTATGACAGCCCAAAGGCCCATGATTAGTCATATGTGGCAGGTAATGGCATATCACACTTTCAGACAGACAGGCACTGTAAGTTGAGAGAAAGATTGAGAAAAAGAAAGAAGAGAGGAGAAAGGTTTTAATGGTAAATTCTTATGAAAACCAGTCTTTTCATCCACCTACTTTATATATATCATCATTACATAGTTCCAGTTCAGAACCATAGAACACAGGCACCCTGGCTGTAATCTAGGTGACACGGGCTGATAGAAGTGGCAAGAAGTTTATATATAAAGAGCTGAAGTTAGAATATGACTGCTACAGTGACAAAGTGTGATGATATCATATTGCAAGTTGTTTGGGCCAGTTGAATTCATTCCAGAGGCTGTATTTGGCAACTCTATTCTTAAATAACAAAAAATATCCTATTTGAAGAACGGAATGCACAAGGTTGTTTACTACTCAGTAAATATTCAGCATAACAGAGGCTAGGTTAGGCAAACTATAGAACATACAAATGCAATATAAAACAGCAATGAACAGTATAAAACACTGGTTTATCAAATATCTATATAAACTGTCATACCTTCCCACCCTGATTACAAATTCTCATATTTCTTTAGATGGCCAGAAATCATTTTCTTCCTATCAAATGTTATGTTTTGCTTTCCTCCACCAGACTGAGAACTCCTTGATGGCAGGAACTATGTGTTGGTTTATGATTTTTCATGACTATCTCTAGTACATAGTAGATGCTTAATATTTGGCAAATGAATGAATGATCAGATATTTTAAAGTTGCTCAGAAATCAAGATGTAGCAAAACAGGCTTGGGAATATTTGCAAAGAAATATCCTTCTCATAGGCCAAGAATTCTCTTTTCGAAAAAGGATGTTTTCTAGATATTACATATACTATATCTACTCAATGAATATTAATAAAACTTCTTAGTCTTTTTTAAAAACACTTTATTTATTTTTATGTGGTGCTAAGGATCGAACCAGGGCCTTACACATGCTAAGTGAGCATTCTACCGCTGAGCCACAACCCCAGCCCCAACACTTCTTAGTCTTTTTAAAATAATTTTTTTAGTTGTAGATGGACATAATACCTTTATTTTTAATTTATTTATCTTCTTATATGGTGCTGAGGATCAAACCCAGTGCCTCACACATGTTAAGCAAATGCTCTACCACCGAGCCACAACTCCAGCCCAAACTTCTTAGTCTTAAAACTATTTGTATCCTACAACAAGGGTGATTATCATATGATAACTGCACAGGATTTTCATTTACTATTTTTATGTTCCATTTAATTCGGATTAGAATTTAATAGTTTGTTTATATAAAATGAACTTTTATATAAAAGTATATTGAGTTTATTATTTCTTTCACTGAATCACATATATATCACAGCAGTAAAGTAACTACCTACCTACTCACAATTGATATCAGATATAGTCAATTCTTTTTCTGAAGTTTAATAGCTTTAACTGAACTTAAGCTAAAAGTATTACCACTAAAAATCATCTTGACTTCTTCATTAAACCTGGAGTATGAATCCAGCATGCATTACATTCTATATCAGAATTAAGCAGTTCATTCACAGAATTGATGAATTCTCTGGCTGTAATAATGTTTGGAGGGCTGAGGTTGTGGTTCAGTGGTGGAATGCCTGGTTAGCACATGTGAGGCACTAAGTTCAATCCTCAACCCCACATAAATAAATAAAATAAATAAAGTTATGTCCATCTTCCACTAAAAATATGCCACATAAAAAAGGAAAGAGAGAGAATGCATCTAATCTCAATGTCACTATTAACTGTTGAACAGAAATTATTTATTCTACACTTGAATAATGTCACCAAACTACATGTACTTACAATTTGCAGATATGGTATACTGACATTAAAACTATCATTCATATTTGCATGCCACACGATTCTCACATTGGTAGTAAAAAAGGTTCCTAGATTTCCCTGTAAAAGAGAGTAATTAGAGATAAACCAATGATAATTTATCTAAATATCTATTTTTATTTTCTAAATGCCCAAATAATTCTTATCACAGCAGCAGATTAATACCAGAATCACCATGGTATCAATGACTCCATCATATACTGAATGGCAATATAATCATATGACTGAGAGCCTGGACTCTGGAATCATTAATCATTAAATCATTGCAGTTGTCTGACCTGGGCAAATTTCTTCTTGGTGCATTTTGTCAAACATAAAAGGGGATTTCATTAAATAATCCATGTAAATAAAGCCATTAGCACAGTACCTGGAACAAAATAAGCATTTCTTCCTTTCTTTTCTTTTTTTTTTTTTTTGTATCAGGGATTGAACCCAGCAGCACTTAACTACCAAGCCACATCCCTAACCCTTTTTTTCTTTTGAGACAGGATCTCACTAAATTGCCCAGGTTGGCTTGAACTTTTGATCCTCCTACTTCAGTCTCCCCAAAATTGCCTGATTTTTCAATAAAAATGATACATTTTATAATCTGAGAACATCTTTTTAATTAATTAAAAATGCCAGGTGCAATGCTATGTGGTAAGACTAACTGTGAAAAGAATAATTACCTTTATAAAGCCCACAATCTAATGGGGGAGGATATAGACAAGCTATGTAATTTAGAACAGTAACAATTTTGGAATGTAATTGTTAAGGACAGGCTTGCATAAGGAACACACAAAAGGGAGATTTCAGAAAGTAATATCTAAGTTATAAACTAAAACAGGCATAGGTAAACTATGGCCTTGGGGCTAAATCTGGCCTGCCATCTCTTTTTGTATAGCCCATACAGAGTGATTTTAACATTTTTAAATGGGTGGAAAAATTCAACAGAAATATACTTCATGACATGTAACTATTATAAAAAATTTAAATTTGTTTCCCTCATTAAAACATAGCCATGGGCTAGGGTCGTACGTAGCTCAGTGGTAGAGCACTTGCCTTGCACGTGTTAGGCCCTGAATTCGATCATCAGCACCACATAAAAATAAATAAATAAATAAAAATAAAGATATTGTGTCCATCCACAACTAAAAAAAATTTTTTCAAAAAAAAAAAAAAAGAAACACAGCCATGTGTTCTCTATATATTGTCTATGGCTGGTTTCACATTACAATGGCAAGACTGAGCAATTGCAACGAACACTGTATGGCCTGAAAAGCCTAAAATATCAGTATGTACATATGTACTTACCTATTTGTGGTGTTGAGGACTGAACTCTGGGTCTCATGCATGCTAGAAGAGCACTCTACCATTGAGCCAGACCCTTAACTGTGTAAAAAATATATTATCTGACATTTCAAAGAAAAAGTATGCTCACCTCTTATCTAAAAGATAAAGAGTTTTCAGAACGGAAACTGTCTATGTCCTATAGAAACTTTATCACAGTTTGAGCATGATTTAATTCTTAGCAAGAAGCTCTTCACTCAAATGTTATAGCTTTACCACAGTGGTTATCAGTCTAATCTAGGTGGTAACATACATGAAATCTAAAAACTATTCTGAGATAAAATTTTCTCTATAAATTGATGTGTAACGTATTCCACAATTATTAATTGCTTACATGTTCCAACTGGTCATTTAAGGGCAGATGAAAATGATGAGTTAAAGGGTTCACCAAATGAGTATATGCTTAGTTCCCTAAATACCAGATAAAAGGCTTCTATGACTGTCCATACCATGGTTCTCCTCCATCAGCTTATGTTATTAAAATATAGAGGGTAGCATAATATAGGGGGAAAACTATGGCTCTGGATGAGCTACACCTGCAAGGGCACTTAACTCTTTGGGGCCTCAGTTTATCATCTGAGTTAAGAGAGACTATATTAAACATGATCTCAAAGGTCTATTCCAGCTCTCAACTTTACATAGAACAAAAGTTGCTGAAAAGAGCACAAGTCCATAAAAATATTAAAACCAGAATAGCATTTCATATCAAAAGCTATAATACTAATAAATCAAGAGCATTAATGCTAATTTTATTTTTTTTAAAAAAAATATATTTATTTTGGTTTTAAATGGACCTTTATTTTATTTATATGTGGTGCTGAGACTCGAACCCGGGGCCTCACACATGCTAGGCAAGTGCTCTACCACTGAGTCACAACTTCAGCCTAATTTTAACAAAGTGGAATGAATACACAAACCCAATGATGAACAACAACAAAAAAAAAAGATTACAAAACAAAGTCTCAAAAGGTTCATTAGTTTTTTGTATAATACCTGATCACTGGATAAGTTCCATACTCCATTGATTTTGTCATATACATGTTCTTGTGGTAATAATCTTAGTTGTTTGTTTTGAATTAGCGCACTTCTCAATTTAAAATCACGATACATTTTAGAAGTTTCATATGCTCTATAAAAAAGAAGAAACAAAAGACCAGTCCACACTGAAAATGTGTTCACTAACTGTGAATAGAATAATTCCATCACTACCTTTATAAAGCCCACAATCTAATGGGGGAGGATATAGACAAGCTATGTAATTTAGAATAGTAACAATTTTGGAATGTAATTGTTAAGGACAGGCTTGCATAAGGAACACACAAAAGGAAGATTTCAAAAAGTGATATCTAAGTTATAAACTAAAACAGGCATAGGTAAACTATGGCCTTGGGGCTAAATCTGGCCTGCCATCTCTTTTTGTGTAGCCCATACAGAGTGATTTTAACATTTTTAAATGGGTGGAAAAATTCAACAGAAATATATTTCATGACACATGAATATTATACAATGGTAGAAGTTGATCAGTTACATTTACCTATCTACTAAAATGTATAGTTGTTAGTACTTAAGTAAATCATTCAAATAATTATTATGATAAATTAAATTTTAATGCTGAGTAATATTCCATACAATATATATATTTTATATATACCACAGTTTCTTTATCCATTCATCTACTGAAGGGCATCCAGGTTGGTTCCACAATTTAGCTATTGTGAATTGTGCTGCTATAAACATTGATGTGGCTGTGTTACTATAGTATTACTGTTTTTAAGTGACTCTGTCATTTTAATGTAGTGTTTATACATTTCATTTCACTAACCTATTCCTTTCTTAATTTCCCTATTTTAGTCAAAGGTATCATCATCTTTTAATATAAATAGAAGTCCAGTTAACTTTTCTTACTGTGACCTGAAAACATTATGCTTGCATCTACTTCTGTACAGAAAACTGAATGAATCTATACAAATTCCAAAGAGGATTCTAGGAGCGGGGAGAGAAGAAGAGGGATGAAGAGGGAAAAGAAACTAAGAAATATGACAGATAATGGTATAATTATAAAATTTATAATCAAAAACTACAAATAGCCAGAAATATATGATTTATATGAAAATTTTTGGCATCACTAATAATAAAATAAATACAAATTAAACAATATTTTATCCTGTCATCTTAATCAAACTTTTTCTCAAAAATCATGGTATATAAAGCTGGTTAAAAAAAAAAAATCAAAGTAGTGAAAAGAGAAGAAATCAACAAATGACAAAACAAAATACTAATATGTATATTTCTGTATAAAAATGATCTTTTAATTCTTTAATTGAATTATCCAACTCACTGACATTGAATGAAATCTCTGTTTCACTTTATTTACCTTGGCAGCTAATTTAATAGAATCTTCATTACAAATTTTTATGAGTCTTCAATAGTCCTTACAAGTTTTTTTTATAAATTCCTTCAGAGTGCTTATTAAATGATAAGAATGTTTTCTTCTAAGTATCTTCAGGATATTTGCAATAAAGTTTGGAGAAAGAGAGTGTCATACTTCTAAACTTTATCCTTTAAAACTTTATGTCATAAAATTACCTTAAAATATCCAAAAATCCATAAACAAATACTATACCTATGTACTGCAATCACAGAAGTAAAAAGTCTAGGACTTCCAGGAACCAAATTTGTGAATATAAATTCAAAGCGAGTGCTGTTACACTTTGTTAGTATAAAAAGAGCTTCGGTTTGACCTCGTAATTTCTGTAAAGACAAATTTATTTAAAGGTTTGTATTTGAAGAACAATTTCTCATTAAGTGAAAACGAACACTGAATTCACATTTCTAATGTTTTTTCACTATACATATATTTCAATATGATTTTTCAGACTTACAGAGTTAGCAGTCCTTGTTGTAATATTCAATATGCAGTTGTAACCGATAGCTAAAATTTAAAACCAAAGAATTTAAGGAGTATGATAAAGTAAACTGAGAAAAAAACACTTTAAAATATATATGTATATATCATATATATATAAAACTTTAAACAGTTTTAAAAACTCAAACATAAACAGAAATAAAAACTTTAAAAATTTTTATGAAATAATTATAAATTTAAAAGTAAATTATAAAAGAACTAGAGATTTGGTTCTGCCTCTTTGAATAAACAAATATATGGGGAAAAGGAAATTTGCTTTAATAAAACCTATACAGCATTATTCAGTGAAAATATTAACACCACTAACCAAAAGAAAAAGACTAGCTGAATTGTCTAAAATAGTTTTTTAAAATAAGTGAAACAAATTTAACACAATGAAAGACTCTACTTTTATTAAAGCTTACATCTCCCTTTTTTGGGATTTCTTGACACAGATTATATACCAAGTTGTCAAAGGAAAAAAAGAAAGAAAAATAAAATCCCTAATCTTATGCATGTCTAAGACACAAAATGGACAAGCTAAAAAATAAGAATGGATTGTTTCTTTTGTATTTTGATGTAATCTGTGGTTAATCCAGGACTTCTGAAGTTTTTAGTAATTCCAGACTTCCACAAATTTCATGGCAAAGCTGTGTTTGGTATCAAAAGCTACTACCATTCAAGTTCCATGAGAAGGAATTCTTCTCCTTAGAGTTTTATCTTACGAGGATACTTACAAAGATTGACTCTGGGCAATGCCAAAGAGTGCCAGATAATTCTTAAATTTGTTACTAAGAGTCTTCCTAAAAGGAAACAAATAAACAAGCAAACAAAAATTAATTAGTTTAAGTAGGACACACTTTTGCAGTACACAATGAGGTATCAGCAGCAACACCTATGTATGTTTTTCATACACATCTATCCTATGTAAGTTATACAATGTATGATTCAGAATTTCAGAGAAACAAAATCTGAGTTGTAGAAGGGACACAGGTATTCACTATTACTACCTTAATTCACATTGAATGAGAATTGTGGACTTGTTTTGTCTTGTTGGAAGGTTTTCTGGGGTCTCAGCAGTTCACATGTGTACAACTAAGAATGGTTATGATATAGTATAACTGCAAAACTATTCACTGAAATAACACTTTTCAGTCGGGCTTGTTGGCACACACCTACAATCCTAGGGGCTTGATAGGCTGAGGCAGGAAGATCACAAGTTAAAGGCCAGCCTCAGCAATATTCCGAGTCCCTAAGCAACTATGTGTGACTCTGTCTCAAAAAATTAAAAGGGCTGGGGATGCGGTTTGGTGGTTAAGTGTCCCTGGGTTCAATCCCTGGTACCAAAACAAACAAACAAACAAAAACCACTTTTCAATGATTACACACTAATCCCTGTCAAATGAGTGTTCTCTTAGTAGTTCTTGTTTAATGAGCCACATTTATATACCTAATTTTTTGTATGTGAGATGAATAGGCTGAAGTGAACATCAGCCTGATATTTTTATATTGAAATATAAAGTTAGAAATATTTAATTTATCAAAGTATGTCCTGTAGAATAGTAATTCCTATAGATGCCCCAAGGGGAAAAAAGTCAAATAAATCCGAGCATAGTAAACCATGTGTCTTAGAAATTTACAATGTAATTAGCATATTAGGATAGCTTTGAGATTTCCCGAAATAATAAAATCCATTTAACTTTGTTAAACATAACATTTACCCATGAAATTATAACCACAGAATTCTTTTAATAAATTTTTTAAATAACTTTATTTTATTTGCTTATTATTTTTTAATGTGGTGCTGGGGATTGAACCTAGTAGCTCACACATGCTAGGCAAATAGGCAAATGCTTTACCATTGAACCACAACCCTAGCCCACAGAATTCTTTTGATGAGTAATCTATAGCCAGATCATACTCTTTCCTTCCTGAAAATCCCTAGGATGGCTACAATCAGAAAAATTAGACCTGCATGAATACTGGAATGGGATGGGGTAGAAAAAGAAGTTCTATGAAAAATTTAAAAAAATTTTGGCAGTACTGTGAATTGAACCCAGGGCCTTGCACATGCAAGGCAACTGATCTACAACTGAACTACATCCCCAGTTTGAAAAGGAGGTACTAAAAATTTAAAAAGGAAGGCATTCCTCAAGGGAGATTGTGGAAAATTATAGACTTATGTTTGACAAATAAGTCTACGACCATACCACCCCGAATGTGCCCAATCTCATCTGATTTGGGCCTGGTTAGTATTTGGATGATGAGAAAACTATGTTTGACAAATAATATGTAAGCCAGCAGGGATGGAGTGTAGGGATCACACAAGATCAAAGATGATGAGGGTTTCAGGAGAAAATAGAGGGCACACTTAACAAAATAACAGAGGTTTATTTGCAAAAGGACTGATCACAAAAATATGAGAGGGTTATTAGGAACCATGGGTAAACCAGCAGACCTGCTCCCAGCCCAGACCCAAAAGGACAAGAGGAGAGAACAATTAAAATAGTCTCGAACAAACAGCAAGGACCTGCCCATTTTATTCTCACACAGCTTCAGTGCACAAAGCTAATTGGATAATTTCATGGCAGTGTATTTACAGTTGAACATGGATTAAATGTGCTAATCTTCTGGGGTACTTACGGTTTTAAAATTGGGGCTCCTGAACTTGATGTCTTAACTTGGTCATTTTCAAACTGCGTGAAAGAAGGGGAGGTAGGTGGTTGGATAGAAGGATTCACCTTCCCTTTTCTACCTCCTTATCAACCAGAAGCTCTACAAACTCCAGTAAATTTTTACTTAAACAAAGGTTTTTGAGGTCTGTGCAAACACACAGATTTATTTTTATTAAGAGTATGATTTCAGGCACTGTGATGGAGAGTTCCAACTAGGGAGGCTTTTTGCCCATCCTCCAAAATACTAGTACAGGATTATTTACTCAATAAGTACTTAATGAATCAAAAAATGTTCTATTAATCATAATCTTGGTATTGAAGGATGGACTGTCAAGTAAGAGTTCTTGCCAGTCTGTACAAGAATGACCAAATTTCTCTTGGCTTCATAAATTAATCCAGATTTCATTAAGGTACAGTCACTCTACTCTCAAAGGTACAAGCCAAGACTTTTTGCTTGTGGTTAGATCTTACTACTTTATCCTCACCCGGGTCTGACTATACAAGGAAACATTTCAAAAACGTTCTAAGCACTCCTTTAAGGATGGACCCTAGCCTGATAGGCTGCCAGTAGCATATGGTGATGAAAGGTTCCCCTCACAGAGAAAGACTTAGCAAAACTTGCTGCTCTCATACTACCCTACAGCAGACCAAAAGAAAGGCTCAGAGAGCCAGGTGCAATTTAGCAAGATCATTTTTCAATAAAAAATGAGATGGGAATGCAGCTGAGTGGTAGAGTATCACTGGGTTCAACCTTAATACTGCCCTCCCCCAAAAGAAAGAAAGAAAGTCAAAAGAAAGAAAGTCTCCCAGAGGAAGTGGCCACCCAAAAAGCCATCAGCATGCTCTGCCACAAGGGTTATTGTTCTTTCCCTAGTATATGCTGATCCTATTATCTCAACAGGTGTATTCCTCTTTTCATTTCTCTTCTTTCCAGGAAGAAGTTTGTTTCCCTCCCTCCTATGCTTCTTTTCCTCCAGACTTTTAAGATGCAGTAAGCTTCTTCTTTCTTTCTTCTTTTTTTTTTTTTTTCACTGAAAAATAGTACTGATGCTTTCAGGACAACTTGATCACTGGTTACTGGTTCCATGGACAGCTGTTGTATGCAGCCTGGACTTTAAGTTCAAATCTTGGTAAAATTTGGTTTGGGAGCACTCTACAGTCCAGACATGGCTGCTCTTTATTAAAAGATAAGTCACACAGTACTTGAGCTCACAATGCAAACGAAATTCTCTCCATGTGTCCCGCTCTAGGTGTCAATTTTAAGTACTGTGCATTACTCTTGGATTTCTTAAAAGGAAGCATGGCTTCAGATATCGCAGCTATGACCTACTTGCATTCACTACCCCATATCCTTATCTAAGCAGGCAGATCCAAGGGTCAGAACTATTCCATGACTTTTACAAATAGGGCTCCTAGATTTAACAGTTACGTAGGATAAAGGTGACATCAAAACCAGGGCTTACTGATGGACTGAAGTTGTGGGAAAACTGTGTCCCTTGGCTACTCTTTCTTCTATTTAAGTCTGAAAAAAAAATCCTGTGCGCTTAACTCTTCTATTTTCATAATTACATTTACATATGATGCTCTTTCATAGATTCTCCAGCTAATATGAATCAACACCTGTAAATTAAACCAGAAATATAAAATACATTAGCAAATATACTCACCTCTATCTCCATTATTTCCTTTGGTATCTTCAATTGAATCTAAGCAATCAATAAGGACTTCCCCAGGTCTGGTTTTCATTTGTCTAAAATAAATATAAACATTTTAGTGTTATAACTATAACTCTATCTGCTTGAAATCTATTTAGGGGGAGAAGAGACATGTGTATATGAAACAGCTGACAGTATAGATGATATCGTACTCAAGTGCTCATACATTTGAAAATAAGGTCTTCAAGAAGCTAGAGATCAGTGATGCCTGGAGTGACCAAGGCCACTTAAGAGTAAGCTAGAACTAGAAGGAAAGGAGTAAGATTTGGAGGACTAAGAAGGGAAAGACAGGATAGTCCATAATTAAAGACCAGAAACAGAAAAGATTGGGGCATATGAGAAGATAGGCCTGGCTGGGGAAGAAGAGAAGTAGTGTGAGAAATACAGTTTGGATAACTCAGAAGAAACCAGATAATGAAGAACCTTGAATCCCCTAATAGGTATAGAGCTTGTTCTGTGGAAAAGAAACCCATAGAGGTTTCTAAGTAGAGGAAAGGACATGAGGCAATTATGGAAGGAATGTTTCAAGAACTATATGCAAAACATCTTCAGTACTTGTCAAGCAATTAAATACATGAGACAAAGGAAACAGAGAATGAAGAATAGTTTGCTGACTGATGCAATTCTAGATTGTCAACCAACCAACCAACCAATCAACCCACCCCCAAGGAACTAAGAGACTACTGAACTGCCTAAAGCCTTCTAATAAATTTGCCATAGAGATAACTTAATTGGTTATTCAGAATCCTGATAAGATCATATCACTTTCTACTTAAAAGTCTTCCATGTCATTCAGCTGCTGAGATATGAAGTGCAAAATCTTCAGCTGAAGCTAACCTACATTTCTGTTTGTACAGCTAACCTGTCTCTGCACACAACCTGCCTTCTAGTCAAAGAGGGTTATATATACCTCCAAGACTCTGCTTCTAGTCCACCCGCCCTTTTTTTCTATAATACTCTGTCTACACTGACAAGGTTCTGGCTATCCTTCAAGGTCGAATGCAAATTATTTCTTCTTTGAAGCCTTCCCTAGGCATATTGATTTGCTCTGTTCCTGTTCTCTTCTGTTCATTTTTTTCAAGAATGGTACTTATCACATGTATTATAGTTGTCTATGTGTATCTCCTGCACTAAATGGGAGGGGTACATGAGTATTATTTCCTATTATTTTGTATTTATAGCTATCAGCATAATAACCAGTATATAAAAGCATTTGGTAAATCACTAATAAACTGAAATGTTCATGAAATGGACTTTTTTGGATTAAGAGTCCTCCAAGAATTACAGAAAAAGTCATAGAATGTGTGTAATATGTAACTATGGCTTGTAATTTTACAAATTCCTTTTTCTCCAACACCATAAAGAATCTAATAGCATGTTAGTTTTTGTATTCAGCCACAACAAAGCCTGAGAAATATATAAATATTTAATTTTCCCATCTAAGGAGGTACTATCCATGATAAGGAACCATAGGAAGTGGCCAGAAGCTCCATGCTATTAATCCAGGAACCTTACTTTAATATTTCCAACACTAAATATCCCAATGGTAATTTTCTTCCAGGGACTTTTGGAAAGGTGGTTTCTAACCATCCTCTCTTTAAAGCATGATATTTTCCAAAAACAGGAGTTCTGTTTGAGAGATTCCAAAGCAGAATTCCATCTTCCGGTTGGTGACTTAGATTAATAACTAGATGAGCTTCTTACTACATACATAAAGTTTATATTGTTAGGAACTTTGAAAAATGCTCACTCCTACTCCCCTCATTTTATAGACTTGAGGTTAGAATGCTGAGGTCGTTTGTCCAAAGGCCCACAATGTGTGTCATTATCACAGATCTAGTCTTAGAGCCTGGTTTCCTGAATCCCTGGCCTAAGTTCTTTCCACCACACGAAACTGAAATCACTGCCACATGGGGTTCACATTCCTGATCTGTCCCGCGGCCAGGGCACGACCGTAGACGGCGCGGGACCGAACTTGTAGAATCTGGCCGCTTCCCTACGGTAGAGCCGGACCCAGGAGAGCCGCAGTGACCAGAAGGTCTATCGCTGCAGGCGATAACCCCCCACCCTCGCCACGCGCAGATAGCTGCAGAGGCGCAGGTCCAGCTCGCGGGTCCAGAATTCGCACCGCGGCGCCCTCTACAGGCAGTGCATTCCTGGGGCCTCTCGGAGACTCACTGCGAGGACACGTCGAAACGGACGTCCCGGTCTTCCCAAAGTACGTCCAACACAGACATGGTGACTGAGGCCTTCGGTCCCCGCTCTCCACTGCGGTGGAGGCCTAGCAGCGCCTTGCGGGCTCCAAGGCAACGGGCCGCGTCTGTCACGACGTCTACGGCGGGCGCCGAGACCCAAGCTTCCGCGAGTGAGCACGCGCGTTTTCTCCTACGCTTTGACCCCGCTAAGCCGTTTTGAGGCAGGCAGGCGGGGAGGGTGCTTGACTTCTAGACGACCTTCCTGGCCTCCAAACATCCTTTAGCCATCCCACCACTCCCGCTATTTCCCTACACCGTTAAGAAATTTACTTAAAACTCCAAATTCCTTACCTGGGCTCCGCCCCATCTCGCCCTGCCCACCTCTCCGACCTCTCCTGGCTACCTGAGCCGGACAGGCTCAGTTTTTGGAGGGCCTTCTCTCAGTGTCTGGAAAACTGTTTCTCCAGATCTCTGTGTAGCCGGCTCTTTGTCACTGAAGTCTCAGCTCAAATATCAACTCCAGCCGGTCCTACCATGTGCAAACTACGGCCATGCACTGATCTATTTAGTTCATTTTGAACAACGCCTGCACAGAGCAGGCACCCAGTAAATACTTTCTTGTTTTCTTTCAATCAGTGATTTACAAAGAGCGATCTGAGGTCGCGTGGGTGCCCCCACCATCCTTTCAGAGGCCCACAAGGTCACCCTATTTGCATGATAATAAAGTGAAGAAGACTTTTGCCTTTTTAACTCTTATTGAGTGGTGAATGTACAGTGGAGTTTTCCAGAGGCTTCATGCTTTGTAATTGAATGTGAAAGCAGATAAAATAATTCAGCTGCCTTTTAATAAGCCAGACATTTAAAAATTTTTGCAAAAATGTAAACTTGCAAACTTTTTGGAAAATGTAACTATTTTTAAAAGTTACATATGTTAATATGTAATAAGTTATTGTTACCTGTCCTTCCTTTCTTTCTCTTTTTCGTTCTCGTGTTGGGAATATTGAACCTAGGCTTCATGCATGCTAGGCAATTGTTCTATCACTGAGGCACACCCCCTGCCTTGTAACTATTTTTAAATGAATTATTTAAAAAGTAAATATAAATAGATGTAGCCCATTGTTGGGTTAAACACTAATCAGTGCCTAGGAAAGACTGCAATGAGATAAGGACTCTAAAGAAGGAAATGGAAAGGAAGCCGGCTTCTTTCCCTTGACTCCAATCTTCAGGTAGGAACCAAAGCAGAGGGACCTCTGGTTGTGAAGTAAAAGAATGTACTTATAGGCGCTGGGATTGTGGCTCAATGGTTGAGCGCTCGCCTAGCATGCTAGAGGCACTGGGTTCGATCCTCAGCACCACATAAATGTAAAATAAAGATATTGTGTCTACCTAAAACTTAGGAATCAATATTTAAAAAAATAATGTACTTATAAAATATCTGAAGAAATCCCACCTCACAGTGAGCATGCTGCTTGTAGGGACATGAGCAGCCCTCCATTGTATCTCTGCCTGCTGCTGATGAGGAGTGCATGAGTAACAAAATGTTGAGTGACAAAATGTTCAAAACCTCTACATTGAATCTTCCAAATTCTTTCTTTGGGATCAGTTAACTGTATATTGGGGTGTTTGCAGCTCTGGCACTGAACAACCATATAAACAAAAGCTGGATAACATTTTTAAGAGTGTAATGGGGTCCTGAGAACAAAAATTGGAAAACTGCAGCTTTAAATTTTTATCTAGAGCTATGTCAGATTCTGAAAAGTATTGAAGATATTAATATGAAAGGCCATGAGGGGTTTTTGTCAGGGTGAAGAGTGCAGTGGAGGCAAAGGAACATGTAGTGGATACATACTAAGGTGGTCCCCAGTGTCATGCCTTTGTGTTTCGGTAAAACCCACAATTTGTTTCTAGCCAATAGACTATAGCTCAGATGACGGGAGGTCATTCCCAAGACTATGTCATGTTTGTTATAAAACTTGGTCTCAGAGGATAAAGGGAGCCTGACTCTTCTGCTTAACTTGAGGAAGCCAGATGCTATGATGGACTGTAGTACCAGAAGTCTCAGTCCTACAGGTGCAAGGAAGTGACATCTGCCAACAATCTGAATGAGGTTGAAAGCAAATCTTTTCCCAGTTGAGCTTCTGATGAGGATACATCCCCAGAAAATCAGTAGATTGCAGCCTGGTAAGACCTGACCTGACTCAGGTAAACTGTGCCTGAACTTCTGACTTTCTGAAATGGTAAGAAAATGTCTTGTTTTAAGTTGCTAAATTTTTCATGCAGTTATAGAGAACTAATCCAAATGTGGGATTGGCTTTGGAACTGGGTAGTATGTCAAGGCTTTCAGATCCTACAAAATTCTACCAACAGGAAGCAGGCTGACAAGTGTCTCATCTGTAAATATGTGCTACCTTTCATGAAAAGGTGAGAAGGCATCAGAGGATAGAACCAAGAACCCAAAGGGCAAACTGAATACCAAAGATTATTCTTAGAGTTTAAAATTTAATTAAAAAAAAACTAACATTTTGCCCAAATGGGTGTCAAAATTGTTATATATTAATGACTTGGGTTTTTTTTGTTTGTTTGTTTGTTTTAGTTATTTGTTTTGAGCCATGTTATCCAGGCTGGCCTTGAATTCCTAGTCTTAGTGGTCCTCCTGCTCTGGCCTCTCAAGTAGCTAGGACTATAGGTGTGCCCGCCATACCCAGCTTGGTGACTCTTATTTTTTCTTCTAATCCCCCCCTTTTTTTTAAAGAGAGAGAGAGAGAGAGAGAGAGAGAGAGAGAGAGAGAGAGAGAGAATTTTAATATTTATTTTTTAGTTTTCGGCAGACACAACATCTTTGTTTGTATGTGGTGCTGAGGATCGAACCCGGGCCACAGGCATGCCAGGCGAGCGTGCTACCACTTGAGCCACATCCCCAGCCCCCAATCCCTCTTTTTGAATTGAAATATCTGTAACTGTTATCCTATGGAACATAAGGTACAATATGTAACACAGGATAAAGATTAATCTATATGTTTGAAGATAGATAGTATCCTTTGAAATAAAGTTAATATATAAAAAAGAAAAAAATTGCTTTCATTACTAAAGCTTAAACCTGTTTCTTAATGTGACTTGGATTAATGTATATAATACATGTATGACAAAATTTTTATTTTAAATTTTCAAGGAAAATTATTTTTCCCACCACTGGGGATTGAACCCAGCAATGCTTTACCAATGAGCCACATCCCTAGCCATTTTTATTTTTTATTTTGACACAGGATCTTGCTGAGTTGTTGAGGCTAGCCTTGAACTTGCAATTCTCCTGCATCAACCTCTGGAGTAACTGGGAATACTAGCTTGTGCCACCATGGCAGGCTACATTTTTGTTTAATCCCCCCAAAACATGGTTCACCCAAATATATCAAATATCTCCAGAAGGAGATCATTATGGCTTAGATGTGAGATGTCCCCCTAAAACTCATGTCTGAAACAATGCAGGAAGGTTTAGAGGAGAAACGATTGGGTCATGAGAACCTTAACCTAATCAGTGAATTAATCCCCTGATGGGAATAACTGAAGATGAGTAAAGAATGGCTGGAGGAAGTGGGCATTGGGGGAGTGCCTTCATGGTATATATTTTGGATCTGGTGAGTGAAGTTTCTCTCTGCTTTCTGATCATCATGTGAACTGTTTCCCTCCACCATACTCTTTCATCATGATGTTCCGCCTTACTCAAGCCGTGAGGAATGGAGCCGGCTATCTATGGACTGAGACCTCTGAAACCATGAGCCCCCAAATAAATTTTCCTCCTCTACAATTGTTCTGGTTGGGTCTTTTAGTCACAGCAATGAAAAAAACTGACTAAAACAGAGATATTTATTGAAAGTTAGCTGTGTGCTTGTCTCTGTCTCAGCATTGGGCAATGGTCCTGAACAATACAGACTATGCATTTCACGTTGTGAAATCCATATACAAATAGAAGTTATTTCACATAGCATAATATCTTCTAGGTTTATTCCTATTGTTGCAAATTATAGGATTTCCTTTTCTAAAGGCTGAATAATATTCCATTGTATGTGTATACCACATTTTCTATTTCTATTCATTTGTTAGTAGACATTTGGGTTGTTTCATATCTTGGCTTTTTTAATAATGCCACATTGAATACAGGAGTGCAGATGTCTTTTTGAGATCCTGATTTTAATTCTTTTGAATATGCCCAATAGTGGGATTGCTGGATCATATGGTAGTTTTATTTTTTGGAGAAATTTCTATTTTGTTTTCCATAGAGGTTGCACTATTTTACCTTACCACCAATAGTGGACAAGAGTTCTAGTTTCTCTACAACTTCACCAACACCAGTTATTTTTTAATTTTTGTAATATAGCTCTATCTTTTTTTGTGCATGTGAGGTTTTATTTTTTAATTCTAATTTGTTATATATGACAGCAGAATGCATTATAATTCATATTACACATATAGAGTGTAAATTTTCATATCTCTGGTTGTATACAAAATATATTCACACCATTCATGTCTTCATACATGTACTTAGGGTAACAATGTCCATCTCATTCCACCATCTTTTCTACCCCCATACCCCCTCCCACAACTTTGCCCTATCTAGAGTTCATCTATTCCTCCCATGCTCCTCCTCCCAACCCCACTATGAATCAGCCTCCTTATATCAGATAAAACATTTGGCATTTTGTTTTTTGGGGATTGGCTAACTTCACTTAGCATTATATTCTCCAACTCCATCCATATACAGCTCTATCTTCAACCAAAATTATTACACTTAGAAATAATCTTCCCAGTCCAATTACTAGCAAATTGATACTAAGCAAAATGTCTTTAAGGGGTGAAGTAATTATATTTGAACTATTCCGATTGTTTGATCTGTACCTTAACTGTATGTGAAAACAACCAAAAAAAAAAAATACATGTCATAAGTTCCTGAGTAGTGCTTATTGCAAACTTTTAAGATATGAAAAGAGGGCTGAAGGTGTAGTTCAGTGGTAGTGTCTTCCCAGTAGGTGTAAGGCTCTCAGTTTGAAACCCCAGCCCCACAGGGAGGACAACATTGTGAA